CATTGGTATTTTGATAGAAATTTCATTGAATCTACAGATTGCTTTCAGTAGTATCAATATTTTAACAGTGTTAAATCTTCCTATCCATGAGCAGGGTATATGCTTCCATTTTTTGTATCTTCTTCAATTTCTTTCTTCAGTGTCTTCTAATTTCTGAGCACAGGTCTTTTACACCCTTGGTTAACTTTATTCCTATGTTGTTTTGTTTTTTGGTGCAATTATAAATAGGATTGCTTTCTTAGTTTCCCCTTTTGATAGTTCATTATTGTTATATAAAAATGCAACTGATTTCTGGATATATATTTTGTATCCTGCTATCTTACTGAATTCATTTATCAGTTCAAGTAATTTTTTGGTGGAGTTTTTAGGGTTCTCTATATAGGGTATCATGTCATCTACAAATAATGACAGTTTTACTTCTTCATTTTCAATTTGGATACCTTTTATTTCTCCTTATCTGACTGCTGTGACCAGGACTTCCAGTACTATGTTAAATAAGAGTAGTGACAGTAAAATTCCCTTTCTTTTTTCTGATCTTAAGGGAAATGCTTTTAGTTTTTCCCCAGTGAGTATGATGTTAGCTGTGGATCTGTCATATATGGCAGGGGAAGGTTCAAAGAAAAGCAAATTTGTGAAAGTCATTTATAAACTGGTATCATACACATAAAGTAAATAAGGAACAAAAATAATTTATAATTTTCGGCTATTAAGAAAGTTCTGGAGGGTAAGACATTGTTCTCAAAAGTGCAGCCAGTGTCACAGAAAGTATCTGTACTTTTTTTTACAATGCTTTTGAATTTTTCCAAAATTGAGACCAGGAAAATGATCTGGCTTTATAAGCCTACCTAGAAAAATTGGAAGAAGAAAAAATAAAGGCAGGGGAAACAAAGAGGGAACAGGATCAAAACATGAGAAATGTGACAAATAGGAAAAAGCATAACTTCGGAAAGTGTTTAAATAACTTTAAAAACACCACAAAGCTGTGAGTTTATTTTATCTTATAAAGTACCATAAAGAACATGTAGACCATGGTTTTATTAATGACATTTGCAGCTTGGTACCACAGTTTGCAGCTAATGATTATGAGGGGGGAAATGATGGCCCTAACAAGTCAGCTCTTTAGGACTCAGAAAGCTTTATCTTTAAATCCCTCATTTCTCTTTTTCACTCATTTTCTTCACATTTTCTTTCATCATTCACTCACTCTTCCCCCAATAATGTTTTCACTCCTGTCCAGTCCTCAATCCTCCATTTGTTAAAAAATGATTTGTGCCCTCCTCCTACCCCTTCATATGTTTCCTTTTCAAAACCCCATGGAACATGAGAGTTCTGAGACTATTCTGAGGCTGTTCCTAATCTCCTTCAAATCCAGTCGGGCCCAACTAAACATTCATTAAAGTCCCCTCCTTGGGGGAGCTACACGCTGTAAAAATGGCAATAAAACCTCTGAAAATTGTAATGCTTGTGGATATAAAGAAAAGATACTCTCATAAAATTCAGTCTTCTTGACTTGTTTCTTGTCAGCTCAGCACTTGAAGCCCAATGTGTTAGCCCTCAGTACAAGATACAAGTTCTACCTATTCTAGTGCATGTGGATAGGGGCAGGATACATATTACAACAGGAAATTCCTGTTGTATTCCTTTAATATTATTATATTCTTGTACCTGGAGGCTAATGTGACAGGAATCTTTAATAATAGAAGGGTTTGCTTTGATTGTGTTTCTTAAGTGTGCTTTTAGCCTTTCAAGTTAAACAGGCACTTTTTAAAAACTGTTATAATGGAGATTGAGAAGCTATAAATTTTAAATATTAAATATCTCCATAGTAAAGTCTAAGATATCAAACCAAAAGGTACAACATAATTAACATCCCGGAGAACTCTTTCACTGGTTGAGTCCTACTATGTCTTTCATGCAAACTTAATTAACAAGTTACCTTCTAAAATTCTCTTTCTGAGAAGAACCTAAAAAGTTGAGCGTTAGAAATGAGACAGGTCTCTAACAATAAAGTCCAGGATGCCATCTGTGATCATCCCATCAATTTTCTCAAGAAACAAATTTATGTAATTTGAAAAGCTTCTTTCTACAAAAAATTCTTATTTTTCCTAAAAGTGCATAGAATAATTATATATTTGAATATTTAATAATCCTCTGGACCAATTTTGGAGGTTTTCCCCCATGTTCCTAAAGACTGTAAAATTTTCACTACTGAATTTGATATTCCTTAATTTAGCAATATTTCCCTTTAGCAACCTCATAATGTGTCATTAAAAATTCCCAAGAAATGAAATTAAATTTTAGACGATCTTAAGCAACAACAATAACAACAAATAAACAAATAGCTACTTACAGGAAAAATCTCAAAAAACAATAGAAATAACACTTAAGTATTTATGTATCTTAAATATCTATGACACCATTAGATTTTTTAATGACTTTTAAATTAATATCAACCCAGACATAAACATCAATAACACTTCAGTATTCAATTATGCAATTAATTTTTCTCCACACATACATTTAGATCTATAAGGATACAGAATATATTTTATATATAGTTATTAATATAACTTTGCATCATTATGTTATATCATTATTAATATAACATCCTATCATGAGCATTTTCACACCAAAAACTCTACAGAAACACACCATTAAGTGACTCTTTAAAATTTCTACCAGTGTCACTAATTGGTCTCTAGAAATATAGGCTGCATAGAATTTCACACTTACAAAAATAGTGCCATCACTAACTTTATACACAAATCTTTGCCCATACTTCTAATAATTGTTCAGATGATTCTTTTAAAGGTTCTAGGAAAAAATTATAAATGCATACATATATGAATATATATTATCCCTATGCAAAGCTTTTATATAATAATTGACATTAATGTTAAAACATAAATATGTATCTACATATACATATGTGTGTATCCACAAAATCCATTCATTTTACAATATTAAGAACCTCGTGTAAGCTATGAACTCTTCCAGGTGCTAGAGATATAAAAAGTCCCTGCACCCATGGAACTGACATCAAAATAGGGGTATGTCAAGAAGTGATATCTAACAAGGTAAATTAACGCAGAATAAAAAAAATACATGATGGAGGATGCTATTTTATGTGAGATTATCAAGGCAGGATTCTCTGAGGAGGTGACATTTGCACAAGGACCTAAATGAGGAGTGAAAACACACTTTGTGATTATTTGGAGAAAGTAGCCCAGATAGAGGGAAGCACAAGTACATAGGCCCTTTTTCATATATTTATGCTCACACACATCTTGTATGTTTGTTCCACTGAACATATATGTACTTGGTACTAATTATATATCACACAGGTTGCTAAGAACAAGACAGATACTGTTTCTGCCTCGCAAGGCTCAGAGTCTAGCAGGGGAGTCAGATATTTTATAAATGGCTTCCCAAGTAATTAATTATCATTTTGATGCTGGGCAGAAAAAAACAGGGCATTGGGAAAGCTTATAGTGTGTTGACCTAACCTAGTCTAGGGAGGGAGCCGGAGAGCAGGAAAGTGATAATCTACCTAAAATCTGAGGGATATGTGTAGCAAGATAAGAAGGCAGTGAAGTTTCAGAAAGGAGGAAACATGTATTTGAGATCCAGTGCCTCAGTGCATCAGGGTTTAATTCTTCAGCAAAATCCACTGAAACATGATAGTTTAATGTGAGGACTGTGAGATTATATTCAAATTTTTGTCTAAACTATAACTATCATATATTTATTCTTTCTAATATAAACGTTTACATAAGAATAAACAAATTCTTTCATTAATTTCAGGAAAGAGGGCAGATGTAGTCTAGCTCAGCAAGATTTAGGCTATAAAGTAGGATATCTGGATTAAAAAACAAAGAAATATATGGTAGCATAACATTTATATGATTAATGATGAAATGCAGGCAAATTCTTATACTTCAAATTCATTATTTTAAGAAAACAATATAAACCATTACTGACTATTCATATCATTAAAATGGATTCTACTTTACATAATCTCATTTTAAAACAGTAACTGATAGTCAAAATTCAGTCATAATTTAACGTATGTATGTTATTAACTACCCTCTATCCAAAACGTGGTATTTTTCTATTATAAATGTCAATATTCATATTACCATTACCTCATATTTACTGGTTGTCTAACATCAACTACACACTGGACTAGTCTCTCTAACTTATATTTCATTGGGAAGTTTCTGACAAGCATAATGCCTGATATTCAACAACTGTTTAACCAATAAATTTGCAAATTAATGGCAATAAAATTTACATAAGTACAAAAATATTTCCAAAACATGAAAAACAAAACAAATCTAATCCAGTATAATCTAGACATGAATAAATTACTTGCTGTTTTAAAAGAACTTACCTTAAAAATTTTAATTAACAAAATGTCTACACAGCTGTGCAGAAACTTTATCACAAAAAGCCTGAGACTGCTGTCCTTAGAAACACCTGCTACCTAGGTGGGCCCTCAGCCAGCACCTGGGAAACTGGCTCTTGGAGTATTCCCACTGAACAGTTAACTGATAAGGGTGGCTCACTGTGCCCAGACTGTTTGCATAAACAATATGGTTTATGTTAAACACCTGCTTTCCTCTGGGAATCTGGGCTTTTTTTATGTGGTAGGCAGGATGTCTATGTGACCAACTCCAATAAACACCTAGGACACCAAGTCTCTACTGGGCATCCTTGGGGAAAAATACCATACATATGTTGCTTCATTTTTTTGCTGGAGGGGAAGGTGGTGTTTATGCTCCCCTTCAGGGGAGAGACAGAACATAAGGAAGCCTGCACATGGATTCCTCCAGACTCTGCCTATGTCTCTTCCTCACAGGATCCAGGTGAGCATCCTCACTTCACTGTAATCTTTTCAAGCCATGAGTATATACTGAGTCCCATGAATTCTTCTAGAAAATCTCCAAATCTAGGATAACCTCAACACAGCAACTTTCTCAGAAGGCCAGAAGTCTTACCTGCTGATATGCTGCATAGATCACATCATACAGAAAAGCCTGTGGCATCTCACTGGCTCTGTGTCTGGCACGTTCTAGTGAGTGGTCTAAGTGACCATTGGCAGATGGACTGATGACAGTGGATACAAGAGGTCGAATTGCTCCTGCTGCCTAAGTAACAAACAGAGGCAAGCAACACATTTATTTCCCCTAGAAAATATTCTGAAGTGAGATTCTAAACTCTGCATTTTATTTTTGGAAGCAAATCTTATGCATTCAGCAAACTACCTCAAGAAAATATTTGAACAAGTGTTCATTTGGTTCATAAATCAAATCATGTCACATCAGAAACCAATCTCCTAATATTACAGTTTCATAGACTAAGAAAATTTTCTTCAGTATAGGTTCAAAATCCTTTTCGTACAGGCTGTTGAAGCCAAATTCTAAAAAAGGAGGCAAAGATATAATTGGGTATTCCCTGGAGATGGGGGAAAGAAAGAGAAAGACTATTATGAAAGAACTGAAATGGATTACTCATGAAATACTAATTCGTGTGCTTTTAAAAGATTTAATTTACACATAACGTAATTAAGGAAACTGACATATTCCCTAAGATCCCCAAAATGAGATTCAACAACAGCCCGTGTAACAATGAATTTATGTCTTGCTCTAATTCCTGAGAAAAGCAGTTCCCTTCAAACCTAGCGTTAATGGAAAAATATCAGGCAAAATATACATTAATATCAATTGCTCTGATAAAAGCTCTGTTTCATTAATAGATGCATCTAAACTTTATTTAAAAAACACACCTTCATATCTGACAGTTTTTACCTTTATCTTTAATACAGCTTCATTGTAATATAGTCTTAAAGGTCATTACCAAACAGCTGCCTTGGAGAAGTAGCCTTAAAATATAGTTCCTATGGTAGGGAGTTAAACTAAACCTCCTTCTATTTTATCCAAAATATCCTGTCTTCCACATAATTGCTATATGGGGGTTGCAGCACATGAAGCTAATACACAAATACAACAAATTTGGTCTTAATCCCAACATCTGAGTAAGATAGACAGTCAATGAACTAGTTCACAAAAGTCAAGAGACTGGCTGAAAATCAAAGCTAATTATGAGCCACATAAAGAGTTTACAACTGTGTCACCATTTCCAGTGACTCAAGTAAAAATTTGGACCCTAGGTGTAAAAGCAATAATGAGGAGACAGCCAGTGGTGACAGGGAGGAAGTGATGTCCAAGTAGGTGAAAGGTAGGTAAGGTAGGTAAGGAACAAGCCCAAATGGCCAAGCCTATCAGTAGGGGTAAGAAGACAAAACAGGAAAGAAACACATGCACACACATGTATTCTGACATAGCTTTTAACAAAAAAAATTAAATTTCCATTACAACTACTTACAGGTAATTTTATGCCAAGCCATGGAATAAAAATTTATTTAAAAGAGAACATGAGACATACAAATTGTCAACATTAGAAGCTCCCCAGCAAAACAACTATAAACAGTGAAAAGTATTTAAAAAACAAACATGTAAAAGCCTTTGAAAATTGTCCTAAAGGCATTCAGCAAATTAGGGAACATTTATTCAAGAAAATCTACTAAACCTCGGTGAGAACAGAGAGCGCCTGTGGTGCTCGTTTCACGATCCGTTTCTTCTCTCATTCCACAACCAGTTTAGTATGACTGAGGTTCCTCTTCGAATAGGTATGGCCAAAAAATGGGGCTCCCTCTCTGACTAATTCCCAATGGGAGAAGCTGAGTGCTAACATTTCCCATCCTGCTCAGCTCCAGTCACTCACTGAGGCTAAATAACACATGGGTGTGGCCAAGAGGTTGGAGACACCCACCTACAGGGTGAGAATCCGCCCCGGAAATGGGAGGCAGAGAAGACTAGGGCCTGGATCTCTCTGGCCCCAGATCACACATAGTGCACAGGTTCTATACCAGAAGAGGCAAAAAGAGAATATGGGAGCCTTCTAATGCTCCCATGCAGCACCCTACTCATGAAGTAGGGGTATCACTTTGAGACACAAGTCATCATGCCCACCCACAGCTCCACAGTGGTGCAGTGATTATTCACAAGGCAAGAGACAGGCTCTATGAACAGGGAGCAATGAAGCTTTCCCCAAGGAAACTCACCCTATTTGGAAAAGAGCATGAGGTAGTTTAAGCCCAAGGGCACTCTCAAAAGAAATGAGATTATCATGGTAAGCAATTAAGAGGAGGCCAATAGCTACAGGAGACCAAAAAGCTAAACTGTAGGCCAGCTAGTTTACCAGAGAACACCAGGGAAAGAGACAACTAACAAGAGCCTCCATGGGATTAGAGCAAACCTACAATACCGGTCTTGAAAACCACCTGTGCAAAGGGGCCAGAGCTTAGCTGGATCAGACTGCAGAGCAATTTATGTCCTGCCCCTCCCCGCCCCCCCCCAAAAAAGGAGTAATGAGCTGGCAATAAATGAAGCTCATCAGTTGGGTGTGATATCAACCGAGGCAGTCAGTATAACAGAGAGATCAGGAAACACAGTTAAAGATAACCCTGCTGAAACCACATGCCCAACACTGTACCCTCTGAGAAGTGACATCAGAGGCTTCACCCTGTAGAGGAAAAAGTCTTCACTAAAATAGATCCGTGAAGCCCGGTCGAGTGTGGCTCAGCAATTAAGCATCGACCTAGGATCCAGGAGATCGGAGTTCAATTCCCAGCAGGGCACATGCCTGGGCTGTGGGCTCGATCCTCAGTAGGAGGCATGCAGGAGGCAGCCAATCAGTGACTCTCTCATCATTGATATTTCTATCTCTCTCCCTCTCCCTTCCTCTCTCTAAAATCAATAAAGATATATATTTTTTAAATAAAATAGATCAGCGAACTTGCAAACAAATGAGCAAACAACAAGTCCTAGGGATGTGGGAAAGAGAGAATCAATATCTAAAACTTATAAAATACATTATTTAAAAGAATCAGTTTTTCAAAATATTGAGATGCAATGAAACGGAAAAGTGAACTACACAAAAGGAAAAAAAGCAAGCAACATAAAGTGCATAAATAGATGAAAAAAATGCCTAGCCCATTAACAAAATGGTAACTTAAACCACAGAGAGAAAGCGTTTTCCACTAACGGAATCAGGAAAAAATAAGTCTAAAAATATCAAGTGACGGTAAGGATGTGAGGCAACTCAAACTTTCGTTATACTCTGTTGATGAGAATATAATTTGACACAAATTTTGAAAATAACTCAGCCTCTTCTAGTAAAGCTGATAACCTGCATACATCTTGACTCTAGAAAACTCCTGGCACATGTGCATCAGACGATATGCATAACAATGTTCATACTAGCAATGTTTGCGTTAGCAAAACTAAAAAAACAAAATAAATGTCCATCAACTGTAAATAGATGAATTGTGAAATATAAAGTAGTGATCATAAATGAACTATAGCTGCACAGATTCCCATACATACATTTCCCCAAATATGCTGTGCAAAAAAATACTGTCAAGATATATGCAATACATTATACTAAAAAAAACATACAAATATATATTAATTATATGTCAATTATACCTCAAAAAATAAAGTCTAAAAAAATCATACAAACATTAACAAATGTTATTTAGGGATACATGCTACAAAACTGAAGAAAAAAGCAAGAAAGCAATTAAAAACAAAGAGCAGAGCAGTGTTTATCCATCTGGGAGGAGTTAATAAGTTCAGGGCTGGGACACAGTTTCAAAATGACAGTAAAGTTCTATTTATTATATGAGGTGGTAGATCTGGAGGTGCCCAAAGTTTTCTGCATGTTTTCAGTATTTTTAAAAAGAAAATTTCTAAGATGTGTATTTATGGACTCGCATTTTTTATTATTAAAAACTAACTTCTCGACACCAGAAATCAGATATATTTGAAATGTCATGGCAGAACGGTGAATTTCATTAATTAGTAGGTCTCTTTCTATGGAATCCAAAAGATCATTTAGAAAGTAGTACAACATGAAGACAACTGAAAGCACCAAGTGACTATCAGCTTCCAGGGTCTTACTAAACAAAAGGCCCAGGAAAAGGGTCACAGGCGAAAATAACTCCTTTGCTGACCCTTCTTTTCTCTGACTGCTCCTCACCCAGCTATATGGTATAAACAGATATAGAAGCAAGATGCTAACGCTAATAGACATGTCCTCCATGCCTACTTCCATGGCAAAGGACATTTGTTCAGAAATTAACATGCAATGAATCCTGAATTATATGAGCTTTTCTGAAATTCAAGGCATCAAATTATGACACAAGTATGAACAAAGATGGTTAGTTGCCTCCCAAATACAGTGATCTGGGAAGTCTGTTATATCAAGCATGAGTCCCAAGTTATCAAGTACACTGTCTCCCTTATTACACTGAATTAGTGTAATAAGTCCTAAATGGAAGCTTAACAGCTCAGCACCACGGTGATTACTTGCCTCCCAGGCTAATCTATCCAAGTATTTCCACATGTCAATGCATGGAAATCATCGTAGATATAAATCATACAATGAGCAATAATGAACCCCACCTCTACTGTTTACTTTTTAAAGCAAAATTGAACAATAGTTATCACCCATCCACATAGCAGGTGCTAACAGGCATTCCTCCTCGGGCATCTGCATTCAAGCTAATTATGACAATGTACATCAGAAATCCTCCAACCTCGTAATTATAGTTTCAGTTAGCTGAATTGTCTTTACTGAAATACTACTTAATAAATATTTATAGAATAACACCTTCAAAGCTAATCATTAGCAATTATAAGATTTTGAATATTTTATAACAAAATACTTCCAATCTCCTTTTTTGACAAATTAAAATAATCTATTATTTATTCAATATAGAAATACAAGTGTTTTAGAAAAACCTCTGTCCAACTTACTATATCACTGCAAAACACCCTAAAAGTAAATATACAGCAAAAAAGAATAAGGAGTCCTCCATTTTATATACTACTGACCTTTCATTCATGGAAACTAGTAACATTACCTTAAATCGAATAGGATCAGGCATATAACACTTGGATATGTAATAAGAGTTATTTCATTTTAATCCCTAAGTACACTCATTTTGCCTTTATCTACCCCTTCTCCAACTTCAGTTTAAGGTAATTCATTGAACAGATATGTAGGGGTTGGTGATTTCAAGTAAAGAAGTAAAACAAAAGCTTTTTCACACAGTATCTTCTCCAGCATCAGAAACAGGTCAAGTTTCACTTATTCCAGGAAGTCAGGGAGTAATTCAGCATTTTCCCTGGGCATTTAATTCTTTGTCAAAGTAAGCCTAAAATGTCGTACTAAATCAGAACTCACTGCTTACTCACAAAAGAAGTTGCTTCACTACAGCTAGGAATTAAATCAACACCAAAGTGTCTCTCCAATAGATAATGACACAGGATCCAAAGACCCAGGGGAGCTCATTACCTGAACCCCACCCAGGACCAAACTCTGACCTTCAGTGCACTTGTTTATGATCAAAACCATCCAACAGAGATCAAGTACAAGTGATTATTAGCCTAGGTCTCTTCTATCTAACATCAAATTTCCAAACTGAGTCAAATATCGACCAAGCAATTTTTCATCTCTATTTTAGAACATGCCCAGAACATACTGCATAAAGTTGCAAAACTGAGTAGTGGGAAAGTATGTTCCTCCTGATGCACAGATAGTAAACTTAATAGGATTTCCAAAGTGCTATCAATCATTGGTAAATACAGTCAGGCTGCAGAACCCAAAGACATCACATACAAACACACCCACACACCACTTGTCAAAGTTTCTGATTATGACATAAATTTCAGTTTCACTTTAGAGGATGACTAGAGGCTTTCTAAGTAAAAACGAGTTACTGTTTAATGAAGAAATGTATATTCTTCCTATACAAGAAATGATGTCTAGAGAAACATTTTAAGTCCTCTTTAAGATTCTACCATTACTGAAGTGCTTTAAATATTTTCAAGAAACAAAATATCCAGAGCCATTCTTAAACTGCCACCATACCCCATTGCTCACTAAATTACAGAGACAACTGTTCACCTTAAGGAAAGGAATAAAGTGGTGATTATTTCACAATCGACCTAAGTCAAGTCGTTATGCTGTACACCTTAAACTTATTTAGTGCTTTATGTTAATTATATCTCAATAAACTGGGGGGGAGAAAAAATATAAAAACGTGTAATGTTATGATTAATTATGGTTAACCCTGTCAATTTATTATCATTATCCACCACATAACTGGTGTGGGGGTTGGGGCTGTAAACAGGAATGCTGCTAACCACCACACAGCACACAGGACAGCCTCCACTACAAAGAATTATCTTACCCAAAATGTCAGCCGTGCCATGCTTGAGAGACCCTGTGCAACATCACTATTCAAATATAGAAAGAAATTACAGTGTGGAACCTGCTCACAGATGCAAAAACCCCTGTTGCTTTAAATATTAGAAAGTAACCCAATACAAGAGGTAAATACGGGGGACCTGGTTTTATGAGGATTCAGTGAGATGTACCAAAAACCTGTGCTCAAAAGGTCCCAGGCAATTAGAACTCGTAGGTAAATACAATTCCATGGGTAGGTCTGCAGAATTGTGGCAAGCAAATTAGTATATTTGTAATCTTAGACTTTTGAGTGATTTCTTAAGACATTTTCATACTCTAATGGCATTATTACTACACTCTGATATATGACTATAACAAAGAAATTCTAGAACAGTCTCACAATCTATAATACTATAAACTTCCTAAAACCAATTACTCTAACATCTTTGGATCACCATGCCCATTTTAAATAACTTGACATTTAAATACAATTCTATCAAAACTCAGCAAATGGACTCACTCTATAGAGTTTGCCTCTCTTATCCATCCTTATAAGTATAAATACTCACTCCATGTTCCTTAGCAGCTGTGGCCACTTTCAGGAGGATGTCTTCCTCAACAAAAGGTCTCACAGCATCGTGGATAATCACTACTTCTGGCTTCGAGAGCCTGGAGTCTGGCTGATCCCCGGCCAGAGCTTTCAGTCCATTGAATATTGACCTGTGGCGGGTCACTCCAGCTTCAACCAGTGAAATGCGTTTATGCTGGTACCTCTGAATAATACCTTTCATCGTTTCCATGTTCTCTCCAGTCACTGCCACGACAATGTCCTTTATCCAACACACTCTAAAAGGAAAGTATGTATACATTTCATATAAATTGCTTCTTATAAAACAACTAAAGTTAAGCTAATAACAAAAAAATTGAATTTTTAGTAAGTACTAGTATATCTTCATAGAGAGATTAAAAATTGAAAGTTTGTAACAGTCACTTTTATGAATTTTTATCAAATCTAGTAAAGAGGTTAAAAAATAAAACACCAGTGACTATGTCACACTATAGATAGAAACAGACAGATAGAAACACAGTATTTCACAATATGTAGTGTGAAATTATCTACCCATAGTGTGAAAAACAGATATGATATATAGATATATCACACAGATTTCTGACTGAAAAGTTAATTTTGAATAATTACAATATTAATCAGTAGAGAAAAAAGGATATAACAAGAATATACTTTTAAATTGATTTTCTCCAAATTTTTTTTCCTCATAGAACAGGAACACTTCAAAGCACTTTTAAATTCCAAAAGCTCTGTCTCTTTCAGAAAGTTCATTGAATTGGCAACTAAGATGGATAACTAACACAAATTTTGCCTACATCAAGGTGAAATACTGTAGCGTAAATGGGGAAAATACAATAATTAAATTAGTATAAATCAAACTTGAATAAAATGGGTAAAACTCATAACTTAGTAAAATATAAAATTAAAAGAAATAAATTAATCTGTTAAGTCCAATACAAAATATAAACCAATTTTTTTCTGTTGTAAATTGTTTTCTTAAAAACGAACTACTGACATACATTGAGGACTACATTAAAGAAGTTGGGCAGACTTCACTTGAACACCAGTGCTAACGACACAGGGTGATGTCATTTTTAGACTCAGTGTTCCACAGCCCACAGGCCTTAACCAGGAAAACTCCCTCTGAACCATGATGTCAACTCTGAATGAAGGTCACTTTAAAATTTAATGGGATCCCTGGCCAATGAGATTCTATATGTTCATACTAGACAGTTAAAAGTCTTAAACATAATTTTTTAAAATATGTTTTTATTGATTTTAGAGAGAGAGGAAGCGAGGACGGGGGGGGGGGACATCACTGAGAGAGAGAAACATTGATTAGCTGCCTCCTGCACACCCCCTACTGGGGGTCAAGCCCACAACCCACCCCCTACCCCCTACGTGCCCTGACCAGGAATTGAGCTGGCAACCTCTAGGTGCATGGAATGACACTCAGCCAACTGAGCCACACCTGCCAGGGCTTAAACATGTTTTTAAAGAGATGGAAGAGGGGTCTAAAAATTACTAAATAGTGAAATTAACTCTCTACTTCATTGAAAAAGGAATAAACAACATTGGTTTACTCAATAATTATCAATCTCCTACCATCTGTTATTGGACAAACCCCTTTCATAACCCAAACCCCATTCTGCCTGTGGCTACAAGAATACTACACTGATGAGAGAAACCAAGAGCTACTTGACAGGCACGCCGTCTTTTCATTTTCAGTCCATTCCTTTAACAAATATTTACTGAGCACCAAATAAATGATCAGCATTGAGTATACAATGGAAATAGTCACCGCCTTCACAGAGATAAAAGATGAAACAAATAAGAATACCAATAAACAACTGCAAGCTGTGATCAAGTGCTATGAAGGGGCAGTCCAGGCTCCAGGATTGTGTACAAGTAGAATATTTAACCGGCAGAGAAAAGTCCCAGATGATGCTCCTTTAGGGAGAAGAGTTTGCTTCACCATCCAAGCTGTTGAATGGCAGGAAAACAAGCAAAGGGGTTTGGAGGGATGGGGAGAGAAGCAGAGGCCTTGGCAAGGTCCTGAGGGGCTGGGAAGAAACAGAGTGGAGTTCTGTGAGCAAGCGGGAGAAGGACACATGAAGAGGCTGGAGGCCCAGGAAAGCACCAGGCTGGGATAGGCCATGAGGACCTCCCAGGCCATTCTAGAGGTTTAAATCTTTAACCCTAAAAGTAATAGGAAGCCATAGAAAAGTTTAATGCATGAGAAGACATTTATGCTAATATATAAATTAACTCACTTCCACCAATGTTCTAGACACTGTTCTATGATATGATGGTAACAGAATAATGGCCCCCAAAAGATGTCCCATTTCCTAGCTCCCAAAACCTGTGACCATGTAACCTTACATGCCGAAATACTGTTGCTGATGTGATTATGGGTCTTGAGATGGAAAGAACATCCAGGAATATCTCAGTTGGTGCAAAATAATTCTAAGAGTCCTTGTAAATGACAGAGGTAAATGAATCAAAGAAGGAGATGTGATAACAGAAGCTGCAGTCAGAGTGATACAGGACCACAAGTCCAGGGTGACCTTCTAGAATCTAGAAAATGCCAAATAAATGGATTGTCCCTAGAGCCTCCAGAAGGAACAGGGCACTGTCAGTATCTTAGCCCAGTGGGACTGATTTGGGGCTTCTGACCTCCAGGAGTATAAGAAAATAAGTTTCTGTTGCATGAGCCACTTGGTTCATGGAAATTTTTACAGAAGCAATATGAAACAAATTTAACAGCATACTTTTTACTCTGGCTGCAAGGTATAAAACAGATTGGGTAGACAGAGAAAGAATGCAGATAGATCAGGTGGGAGGCTACTGCTGAAGTCCAGGCAAGACAGTGATGGTAGTCTGGCTACCAGATGGAGCTTCTAGATGGGATTTAAGAGATAAATTAGAGGTAATCTACATTAGTCAGCAAGATTGGCAAAATAAGTCAATTATCACATAATGTAAATAATAGCTAACATCAATTGAGCACTATGTCTTAAGCATTAGAAATGTTGTTCTCTCATGTAATCCTCACAACACTATGCTGTCTCTCATAATCTGGGAAACAAATCAGAAAGATATCCGATATACAGATTACATTATATCTTATTTTCCTACATTACAATCTTATGCCAAAAAAAAAAATACTTGGAGAAAAAAATCTTTTACCATTTTTCATCAAGATTATACAACATTCTATCTTCTAGAATGTAGGCTCCACAACAGTAGGGACAATCTGTTTTGTCCATTTCTTTACATCTAATACCTAGCAGGTGCTCAGTTATTTGTTGAATGAACAAGTGACTTTGGTCTGTCTCATCTACCAGGAGCAGTGTAACATCTTACAACATTGCAGAGTTTTAAGGATTACAAAAACACAGCATGCTCTCTTCATTAACCTAGTTAGCTATAAAAATCAAGACTAAACACAGCCTTGCCTATACAATGTGATTTTGTGGACTGTTTTGTTTTGAGGTGTTTTACTCTTTACTCTAATTTCTAGATCCTAAGGCTCCTAGAGGACCAGGATTACTTATATAAGTAACTTGGGGGAATTTTGATAACATATAAACATTGAAATAATTCACAGAATATCAAAGAATAAAATATGTAGTAATCTGTGCAGGCAACAAAAGGGATTCTGGAATAAGCTAAGTATGGGTTGCGCTTTGTTTTTTAGCCCACCCATCCTCCACTCCTTTTTGCAAATTTAACAATTGATAGAACTTACACTGTACTAACATGGTTTAGAGTTTATACTGTACTCCACAAAGCCCTTAGCAAATGACAGTGACAGTTCTTCAGTGTCCCCAAAATATGGGGTTTCCCATGAGTCTGTCTCCATGGGCACAACTCTCCCATAATATATTGCACCAACCTCGTTGCTGGTCTCCTTCTCACCTCAACACAATCCATTCTCACCAGTTCTAGATGATTTTTCTCAAGTGTAAACCTGAAGCCATCCCCTGCTGGTTCTTGAGGAGGGCCCTTCAAGACTTGACCTCAGCCTACTTCTCCCTGCACTTATGTCCCTCTTACTCTACTGGCTATATTCTCTCTCACACCTATGTCTTTGCTTGTGCAGCTTCCTTTGCCTCTCAACACTTATCACCTGACTCTATCACTTCCCCAACCCCACCCACTCCAGGCTGAGTCCTACACTCTTCAGCTTTCAGTTCAGATATGGCCTTCTTCAGGAAGATTTCCCTGCCACTCTGGGTGAAGCATCACTTCCAGAGGACTCATCACTAGGGAGTCTTATCAAGCACCAGGCTGTGTTGTTTCATTTTCTCTCTCTCTCAGTAGGCTGCTAACTCATAGAAAACAAAGGCTACACCCCGGGGACTTGCCCCTACTAAACTTTCAGTAATATTAATAGCAGACACAGCAGCTAAGATGAACAGATTGTTTTCTAGGTGCCAAGTACTGTGTAGAGCATTGTCTGCAATATCCTGTAATATCTCAATACTCATATCAGCTCTATGAGCGAAGTTACTATATAGTCTCCATTTTTACAGTGGGCACAGACACAGTGATCTGTCTATGACCACATAGTTAGGAAATGAAGGAACCTGGGTGAATCCCAGTTTGACTTTGGAGCTCACATTGTTAGCCTCCATAAACGCACTAACGCTGTCTCTGAGAAAGAGGTCATAAAATTCAAGAGAGAAAAGATAATGTCTGAATTACTGTGTCTCCAGCACTTCATTTAAGTTATTAGTGTTGAACCATGTAATACTGCTGCATTTATGATCAAAAAAATGGTCAAATTTCTTATAATTCAAGCAAAAGTAGGTATTCCTTCATTCATGTGTTCATTTAGTCACTCAACAAACATCAAGCATCTAACAATTGAATTAAATGTTAAAATACAGAATAATTAAGAGGGAGAAAGATGATGGGACACTGCTTGACACAGAGTAGTCATTCAAGTACCTGTTCAATGAGTTAATGAATTAATAAATGAATTCCCAAAGGTAAATCCCATTTTTTCTGGAATGCCTTAAAGTAGCTATAAAATAATTATCTATGTTCCATCAAACAGAACGCAAAGTTGATGTACTTAATTACCAACAGATAAACTCTTGGCTTTGGGTTATTTCACACAATTGTATGAAGCCCTAAATAGAAAAGTGTTTTAAATCAGTGCTTCTCAAACTACAGATTTCAGGACCCATTAGTGTGTTATAAAATCAATTTACTAAGATTAGACTAAATTTTTTAGTAAATGAGCTAGAAGTTAATAGAAAAAATAGAA